GCCACTTGAAAGGGCGATGTTTTCACATACTCTTTGATAACGTTAATGTAACTGATACACTATGTATAAATACCTCATCAGTCAATAAATAAAATATCAGTTTATTTCTTATAAATCTTTGTGACATAGATATTCTATTACAAAATGACGCCAAAGGCAAGACCATTTGATCGTGTTGAGCTATTATTGGCAGATAAAGTCAAAGTTATTCAGGCACATAATGCTAGCAATAAAAGCCAATGCAAATCAGCTGAAGAGTTCAATGTTGGCAAAACACAAATTCAGCAAATTTTGAAGCATAATTTTTTGAAGAGAATCAACCACCTTCACAAAAACACATTTTTGCTAGATTTGTGAATGACAACCTTGAAGCATCATTATGGTCTTGGTATTGAAAAAGCTTGTGCTATGAAAATTCCAGTTTCTGGACCTATATTGCAAGAAAAGGCACTTGCAATAGCCACTATGGGTCTTTCTGACTTCAAAACATCACAACTCATAATCAGTGGTGAACATGGCGATGTTGATGCCATGACAGTTGATGAATGGAATGCCAAATTGCCTGCTATTATAGAGGGATATGCATTTAGAGACATTTATAATATGGATGAAACTGGGGTCAGTTCTTGTGGTTTACCAGATAAAACGTGTGTAAAAGGTGAACAGTGCACTGGGGTTAGCTATCAAAAGATAGACTAATTGTTGTGTTATGTTGCAATAGTGTTGGTGAATTTGAATGCACTTTTGTGATTGGTGAGAGCACAAAATCAAAGTGCTTCAAAAACTTAAACATAAAGAGTGACTTATCCATGGCCTGGCATACTAACAAGAAGGCTTGGATAACCAACACCATCTTTCAAGACTGAGTTACAGGATTCAATAAGCACATGAAAGCACAGCATCTCAGTGCCACAGCCTCTTGACCAGGGTATCATTGGTGCATTCAAAGCCCACTACAAAAAGCACCTAGTCTACTCTATACTATCAAACGTGGATAAAGGTATGTCACTCACAAACTTGGTGAAAAGTGTCGGTGTGCTAGACGCTTGTGCTTAGATCAGTTTTGCCATGCGTGAAATCAAGACCAGTACAGTACCAAAGTGTTTCACAAAATGTTTTATTGGTTTCCCCTAAGTTGACAACAGTGAAGATGAAGACTACAACATCACTTTGGCTCAACTGCTACAGATTGCTAAAAACCATCTTCCCAATGTTATCACTGACCCCATTGAATACGTCAACCAAAACAATGACTTTCCCATCACCAAAGAGTTCTGTGACAACTTGGAACAAGGACTTCTCAATGACCTGAATGGTGACC